ATATTATTTTTATAGGTAACTTAGGACAAAGACGAAGTAATTTCCTCTATAGATATTGTTCGTAATGCGCAATTAAAAAAAGTTTCTCTTGTTTCTCTTTTCGCTCTTCATTTAAGTCTCGGCTCTGGCGCCGGCTCGGCTTAAAGTCGATTCAGCGCCCGTTCCCAAAAGTATGCAATAGGTTGTTTATCGTCAGATTATCTTTCACATTTCCTTAGGCACAATGACTGACGTTTTTGTTTTTGTTTTTTGTTTTTCTTCTATCTTTAGTACTAAATAATACAAATCAAAATTGACCGCGGCTAGCCGCAAGAATCGTATATATGGGCTTGCAAAGCATTTGAAATCTCTATATATCTCTTATCAGAGCTACAGTAAACTAAAAGAGTCCTAGTGAATTCGATAATCAAAGCCGAGAATAGTTAGGTTATTGTAGTTGCAACCTCACTATGAGGAATATCTCCATCCAAGTGCTTTGAGAATGAACTGAGGCTGACTGGTTTCTGAGGATCTCCGGGTTAGATGGGGATCTAGCAATTGCCACAGTCGCGAAACAGATTCAGTTCACATCGAGCTACAGACGAACTCTAGGAATATTTTTCCCAAACTGTGGACCACAGGGTAACCCAAGGAGCATAAAGTATTGTCGACTGGAAAAAGGTAGAATGAAGTGTGGATCTAAGATATAGATGCTGAGTTACAGGCCCACTCACTAGTTAGTCATAGAGTCTAAGACGATAAGCTGCAACAAATTGAACTGTATAAAAAAAAAAACATATAATAATACTTGAGTCGGGAGGAACCGACTAGGCGATACCTCAGACTGTGCTTATGAATCGGATATTTATAGTTGAATAAGATAGATATAATATAAGAATCATTCTGATCAAGCATATTCAAATTTTATATGATCTGTCATGTCTCCTATTTTCTATAAACAAAAACTTTATATAACTTCAGTTCAATTTGTGGCAGTAGATTGCCTTCGACTATATAACTAGTGAATGGACCTGTAAGCCACTACATACATCATACATCTGGCATATATGGAATTACGACAGATCCCACAAAAGGCTTGAATAGACTTTTACAATTCTTGGGATTCCTTGGGCTCTCTCATCACTTTGCAGGCCCATCGATTGGCAACGAAAGGACATTTAGCTCACATTCGGAACGAAATAACTATCTAAGCTACATGGCAATCAAACATTGCCTTTGCGAGTAGTAGTTGGTGTTGTTATTAGTTTTTCTTCTTTGAGCGGCGGTTTGTAAAATTCTTCTCTTTGATATTTCAACTTGTCTCGTTTGTGTGTGTGTGTGTGTGTGGGAAAAATAGATTGTGAGATCTGAGTTTCGAATTGATCGCTTTACCAGACTTCACACTTCTTGGTCGGATTCATGCGAGTGTCGGCCTTGCAGTTGAAGACATCGGCGAACTCCTTCATGTTGGACAGTGTGCCAATGACCCGGAACTGTGACGGCGAGTGGGGATCTTTTTCCATTTGCAGCAAATTGGTCTCATCTGTGGTGCTGGAGCACCAGACCTAATAAGAGCATCACATTTACATCCAATACATCAGCTAAACATATATCAGCACTCACCTGTGCAAAGGAGACAAAGAAGAGCTGGGGATGCGTCAAGTTCAGGCCGGGCAGCTTCAGAACGTCCGCATTCTTATCGAGCTTGGTCTTCATATAGGCATGATAGGCCGCCTTCAAGCCACCATTGTCGGCTATGTTCTCGCCTATGGAATGGAAGATCTTTTCAGTTGTAGCACTTCGAGCTAGACACTGCATTACTTTATCGACTCACCCAATGTCTGCTTGCCGTTCAGATTGCGTCCGTTGAGCTTGTAGCCACTGTACTGGTTGGCAATGCACTCGGCCTTCTCGTTGAAGCGTTCGATGCTCTTGGCATCCCACCAGCGATTGATGTTGCCGAACTTATCGTACTCCCGGCCCTGATCGTCGAAGGCATGGGTCAGCTCGTGGCCCATGACCACGCCCATGGCGCCAAAGTTCAGGCTTTTGGGGTTGTTGATGTCGAAGAAGGGCGTTTGCAGGATGCCGGCGGGAAAGACGATTTGATTCTTGGTGGGCGTATAGTAGGCATTCACCGTTTGCGGTGTCATGCCCCAATTGGTCTTATTCACCGGCTGGTCCAGTCGCTTCAGATTGCTCTTCAGATTGTAGATGGCCACCTGGATGTTGTTCTCGAAGTACGCATTCGCTGTGATATTCAGCTCCTCATACTTCTTGTCCAGCTCCTCGGAGTTGAGGATGTAGTCGGGAAAGCCGATCATATCTGAGATCTCGTTGGCCTTCTCAATGGCGCGCTCGCGCGTCTGCTTGTCCACCCAGCTGAGGTTCTGTAGGTTCATTTTGAAGGCCTCACGTATCTCGCCAATCATTTGCTCCGCCGCTGGCTTGGACACGCCATGGAATGCCTGACGCACGAATATCGCGCCCACGGCAAAACCAATCACATTGTTCGTATCAGAGACGCAATAGCGCCAGACCTCCTCGCCGCCATCGGAGCCCATCAGCGCCTTGCGCACGCCCTTGTACGCATCCCGGAAGGGCTTCGACAAGCAGCTGGTCAGCGTGCGCACCGCCTGCCAAATCAGATAGTTGTTCAGCGTGCTGCAAGAGCGGAATTTGTTGGCAATCAGAAAATGTTAAACTAAACATTGCAAATAACTGTTAACCGCTTGATTCCCTATACCCGGTTCGCGAACTCAATCGAAAAATGTAATGCTCACTCGCTCTTGCTCTGAGCAAGCAGCTTCTGTTATATTCGTTGAGAGCCTTGAGTGAAACTATTCGTGTGGCACACAAAACACACTCAATACGACTAACTTTCGTAAGTGTAGAAATAACTCAATGCAAGCGCACAAAACACGCTCAATTTACGTTGATAACACACACGCATACATGCTAATGCAGTGTTAAAAGACACTATCACTCAATCGTGATGCTAATGCATACACATATACATGCATACAACCAAACGGTCAGCGAACAACGAGTGCAAAGCAAAACAACAACAAACCGTTTGTTAACCGATCACAGCCGAAGTCGAGTGAGAACCGATGCAATCGGTTGCTCTCTAAGATTTCTTTCGGAGTGTAGAGTGTTGCAGACATCGAAAAACGGTTAACAGCTATACATGTCCTAGCAATGCTTAATATTGAATTGCCGTAGAGCTGTTTTTTTACATTATCAGTTGCTTCTCTAGTTGCTTCTCTTCGTACGCTGACAATTGACTCTCTGATTAGCCTCAATAGCCATTTCGCTCGCACTCAGCAGCAGTTGTATGCATTAGCAGACATCGGGAAAGGGTCAACTGTTACAGATTTCTGAGCTGTTAAACTAACATACAAGAGATATGGAAAACTAGCTTTATGTTAACTAGCAATAACTAACATTTGCCTAACAGTAAGATTATCTCATGTTAGTCTTGACCACTCGTGCTGTTGACTGTTTACACACACCCTTTATATTGTATATCTGATATTATTATGTTACTTACTTGTAAATTAATAAATAAAGTATGCTGAAGGACATCAAAACTTGAGCTTAACATCTAAGGAGTAATACTATCATCATTTATAATTTATGCTTAAACTAAACTTCTTCATCGAATAAATTAAAATTTGTATTTCTAGTAAAGAGTAATATACTAAAATGATTGAGTAATTATACAGCTAGCCATAGCTTTTAACTGATCCCTTCCATAAAATGTTCCCATAACTAGTTCCACAGTTAATGCTTCAAAATAGGAAATAATAGAAACAAAAGAAATACATATATATTTACATTTTGCCCGCATCCGTTTTTTGCATGTTCAGGATGATGTTGGAGAGGTTCTTGAGAAAATCGGGCGCATAGACGACGACAATTTCCTCATCGGTGACGCGCCTGTTCACCATTTGCAAGGCATTGTCGAAGTGATCCGTCCAGTTGAGGAATGGCGCCAGCTTAATGAGATCCTTCAGCTTCATGGGATGATACATGGCCTCCTCGTTGCGTCGGTCCTCCATCGGTATGGTGATGTTGGCCAGCTTCTTCTCAAAATTGATCACCGCCTCCATCTGGATGCGTGCTGTGGTCTCGTTGGCGCCCAGGAGCACACACACCTTGGTCATGTACTCGATGTACTCGCTGAGCACCTTGCGATGGATGTCCGTCTTGTTGTTGTAGTAGTCGGCGGTTGGCAACGTCAAGCCGCCCTGATCGATCTGTATGACATGGCGGGTCGAGTTCTTGTCATCCTCCCCAATGGCCCAGCCAAAGAGGCAATTGAAATTATATCTGCAATAAGATCGAGTTAGGATATTTCATAAAGGGTATTTCGGAAGGTCCGGGCCAACCCACTTGTTGTGCAGTATTTTCAGGGTATTGCCCAGCTTCCAGTTGGTCACATTGAAGCCGGTCTGCGTCACGTTCCAGCCACCAATTTGCTTCAGCAGATCGATCATTGGCTTGGCGCCCAGTTTCTCCATGTGCTCATCCACATCCAGGCAGGACTCATAGTAGACCTTGGCCTTGCGCTCCGCCTCCGACTTGAACGTCTTCGCTGGCTTCTCCAGCACGTTACGAATGATCAGCTGATTCATCTGCTCCAGCTTGCCAAATGTGCCCCAGGTGGACTTGCCCTCCGGTATGGGATTGTTTTTGATCCATTGATTGCTGCGAAGGATTGAAGCAAGGATTGTTATACACTTGTACTACGAGCTACGACAGCTAGTCCTACCAAGCATAGCCATAGAAGTCATCGCAGGGATCGATGCTCGCATCTATGGATTTCAAGATCTCGCTCGACGCAAAGATGCAGTGCTCGTTCAGGCAGGGCAACTCATCCGCCGTCAAGCAATCTGAAATTATATACAGGCTACATGTAAATGCAAGTGCGATATATAGAGACTATATAATTTATAAGTATATAAAGAAAGGTTTTGACCCCAAATAATAAATCAAATTTCTTTTCAAGAGTATCTCTGTTATCCAAATACTTACCCTTCTTATGTGGCTGAACGTGCACTACGTGATTGGTATTATCGGAACTATTCGATAGTATCATGGTGAGCAGCGTTAAGATGACAATAGTCATCACAAAAGTTGTGATCAGCAGCCATTTTTCGGTCTTATTTCTCGAACGCCAATTCCAGGTGGCCTATTGAAAGGGAATATTTGGGATGTTAAAATTATTTTGATATAAATTTTAGAATTTTATATAAGGCGAGAGAAAGCCCTAACTCATTCCTTTTAAAGAAAATTTCCAATTATGAAAAGTTAATTTTTATCCCTGAACCCATTGAAAATAGGAAATCAGGGTATAATGGTTTTGTAGAAATGTATATAACAGGCAGAAGGAATCATCGCAGACCCCATAAAGTATATATATTCTTGTTGATAATGAAACTATTTTAATAAAATATATGTAAAACTTTTCCAATTAGAATTCAATAGAATAGTTAAACTGGAAGCAGACTGGACTTCTATTTTGAAGAAAATTTCCAATTATAAAATTTGTAAATATATATAATTAACCTACTTTACATTTTAAACATTTTTAGAATTCCATGCAATAGACTAGCTGGAATAGAGCTAAAGGGAACTAAATTCCTTCTCCGATTATAAGTGATCAGAACTGAACAGAAAATTGATTAATCTATCAGAAATGAGAAAAGATTTTCTATACGTTCTGTTTATATTCTATATATGTTATATATATCATAGAGAGTTAAGGATATATATAGTCTCTTAGAATGATTCGTATTAAAAAGTTAATCAGGTTTGCTCAAAGATCTTCAATTCTGACTTGAAGCCTAATCTCTAGGCCATTGTATGTAGTTTATATGAGAGCTATTAAGTTATTTTACAACTGTAAAATGAGAAACTGTAAATGCCTTGAAGAGCCGCTAGAGTGCGGCATTCAAATTTGCGAGTCTCTCATACATATACGATGCGAGCAGTCGTAACCTTCAAGCTAATCAAATCTCGGACGCTGCTTTTGGGTCATTGCCAGCGAAAGAGATGGAGAAAGACAGGCCGTGCGACGGAGAGGGAGAGGGACGATGTGTGGATAAATTATGGCATTGCTTTCGCTGCCGGCTGACCATATGAATGTGTATCATGTGTATCGTGTGTATCGTGTGTGTGTGTGTTTGTGTGTGTCTGTACTTACCCGCGCCGTGTGATAGCGTATCTGCATGCCGGTGTGGCCGGTCGCCTCGTTAAGCTGAATGCCGCCAATTGAACTTGAATCATCTTCCGTAAATTCGGTCTGTTTGTAGCGTGTCATCTGTAAGATGCAAAGCAGAGACCACAAAAGAGATCAGAACACAATATTAACAACACAATGCCGCTCGATTAGCCACTCTATATATATATATATACATGTATATATGTATGTATGTATAATCCGAATTATTTTGGTGCACGCGCGCACTGAACTGGATCGCCATCTGGCCACAGTCGGATGGGAGCGCATTGAAGTCCATTATTATCCGCATGCGAATTGCAAGTCGAGCCGAGATCTCAGCATCAGCTGGCACTCATGGCCGGATATGCATAACATATAATCAACTTTAAATTGAAGAACTTGTAAACAAATGTACTTGATTAATGCACTTTTTCGTGGGAATATCAAATATATCTAAGGGCACCACAAAACTAAGTCAAGTACAGCTTAATCGACTCAAATTTGTATAAAGCCAAAATTAAATTTATTAAAATTATCAGAGCTATATAGCATCTGATTCAATCTGTGGATCAGCTATACAACATTCTATAATGTATCCAAGATTTGTCTCTAACATTACATAGACCTTTCCACTAAATTCTGGGTCTAACCGTATAGCACATGAACAGTATTTTACACATAAGATCTGGGTCCCAATGTGCAACACTTCTGGTGCACTCTATCTGTAAGACTGGTCAATTTTTTATAGACTTTACTATTGAGCTATATGATATGTCGATTTATCTGTAGAACAGCTCAACATGATTTAACTGTAAGTTATATCTGTTTTCTATTTGTAGGTCTCTCTAGGTAGAGAAGTCCAAAATCATAATGTGCTCTAACATTATATAGAGTTCCTCCAATATATGGAGCAATTCAACAATTCCCAAATGTAAAACTGATTGAGAGAGAACATCTGTAACACCCCCCAAAAATTATATATAATAGATGTAGATATCTATACATGATATGTCGCTCTAAAAGGAAACTGTTTAAGCTTCAAATCCTATCCTTGTTTTAATATGTGATTTTCTTGTTTCTATGACAAAGAGAGAAATAATTGTAATGCATAAATATAATAATAAATATATATAATGAATGAAATCGCAAGACAAACAAAGAAAGCCAATCAACTCTGCTCATGCAGTAGACGAGTGTAAGCGTATGCAAATGTTTACCTGCAAAGGTGCACAGATTTGAAGTACCCATTGGATAAATATGCGAAAATCTAATTAGCCTACATTGCGCAGTGTACCTAGCTAATTGGCCAGCGCAGTGCTCGAGTGTTTGTTTGTTTGTTTGTTGTTGTTGTTGTTGTTGTTTACTGTAGTACATCTGATAATGGCTAGTCTTATCTACCAACTGGCGCCGGCACTACAACGTCGAGGGTCGCCTCTTTGAAGTGCTGCTCTCTATGTATTCTATCTGCTGTGCATATCTCAGTTCTCACTTTTCTTTTGCCACCTATATATTTAGATCTGTATATGTGTGGGTATGTGTGTGTGAACACACTGTCGTGTCAATAGCTCGAATGTTCTGCTTTGGCATTTTCAGTTCTTACATATTTAGATATGGGTTGTATACATATATGTATGTATGTATGTGCATATGTATGTGCATATGTAATGTAAGTCGTGTCAATCCTTTTGTTCAGTGTCTTGAGGTATTTTGCATATGAAAAGAAAGTGACGACAGCAGACGGGATAAACAGATGTGCATATATAAAGATGTATATACATATATATGTATATAGATTAAGACATGGGTGTCCAATTATACATTCTTTCAAGTTCTTCTTTAGCAATCCTACTCTGATAATTATTAACTATGGCATACAGTAAAATCTTGCTGCAACTGGCATCAACTATGGTTCACTCTTCAATATATAGTAGAGTAGTACAAGGAGGGACTTGAGTGCATATGCATCGACTCATTCATATACATTCTGCTAATATTAACTCAAGCAATGTTGTAATTATCGTCTGAAACATCATTAGTATACCCCGCACACACTGGGAATCACCACAGAGGGTATATTAGTTATAGTCAACAATAAGCAAAGCGAACTACAGCGAGTCTATAAGATCTTGATGGGGGTTAGCATTAGCCTTATGCATATATCTATATGCCTATTCTCATTCTCGTACATTTGTTGTACTCAATCATCAACTGTTTCCATAGTCCGAAAAACTCTTTAATGTTTAAACCTATATCAATCATAATTTACTAAAATATATTACGCACATTTAATGAATTAAGTTGACCAAGTTTAGTACATATCGTCCACTTTATATATATAAAAGGAAAAGGAGTGTCTATTCAAAAGGCAACACACTTTGCTTATGGTATTTGCCAGTCGAGTCCTAATGTCCAGAACTATTTTAATTGTAATTAAGTAATGACCGCAGTTACTATGATTATGTTATGGCTCTATGGCTACAATGTGCATGCATCAAGTGCATAGTCAATAAGCTAGTTACACACATATTAAATCGGAAATATTTCATACGAAATGTTATATATTGTATTTTATATGATGTAATATTATTTATGTGTAATATTATATGTATCCAATATTTCCAGTGTACAAATTAAAAATTGAAATTGACAGTGATATAAAAACTCAAGAGCGTTAAGTTGGCTGCGTTTGCCCAAGTTGAAAATTGGAATACAAAAATTGAGAGTCTTTGATATTTATTTAAATGGAGAACTGATATTACAAATTAATTGAAGGGCAATAAAAACATGATAATGAAGTTAAATGAAATTTCAATATATGTAACGACATTTTTCTCAAAAAAATTATACTTTTATTATTATTGTGTGAATACCTTGGACTCTCTG